AGCCACAGCAATCTTGAAAAAGAAGAACAAAGTAGGTGGGATCACAATACCAGATATCAGGTTATACTACAAAGCGACTGTAACCAAAACAGCCTGGTACTGGCACAAGAACAGGCATATAGACCAGTGGAACAGAACTGAAAACCCAGAAATGGACCCAAGGCAATACGCTCAATTAATATTTGACAAAGGTGGCAAGAGCATACAGTGGAGTAAAGACAGCCTCTTTAATAAATGGTGTTGGGAAAATTGGACAGCTACATGCAAAAAAATGAAACTAGACCATCAACTTACACCATACACAAAAATAAACTCAAAATGGATAAAAGACTTAAATGTGACCCGTGAATCCATAAAAATTCTAGAAGAAAATGTAGGCAACAAAATTGCGGACATCATACGGAGCAGAATTTTCACTGATACATCACCTAAGGCAACAGAAATAAAGGAGAAAATGAACACATGGGACTACATCAAACTAAAAAGCTTCTGCACAGCTAAAGAAACAATCATCAAAATGGAAAGGCAACACACTGTATGGGAGAACATCATTGCCAATGATCTATCAGATAAGGGGTTAATTTCCAATATATATAGAGTGCTCATACAACTCCACAAAAGGAAGACAAAGAACCCAATTAAAAAATGGGCAGAGGAGCTGAATAGACACCTCTCCAAACAAGACATACAAATGGCCAAGAGACATATGAAGAAATGCTCAACATCACTAATCATCAGAGAGATACAAATTAAAACAACAATGAGGTATCACCTCACACCTGTCAGAATGGCCGCCATCAACAAATCATCAAACAACAAGTGTTGGCGAGGGTGTGGAGAAAAGGGGACTCTAATACACTGCTGGTGGGAATGCAGACTGGTGCAGCCGCTATGGAAAACAATATGGTGCTACCTCAAAAAATTAAAAATTGAACTTCCATTTGACCCAGTGATCCCACTGCTGGGAATATACCCTAAGAAGCCTGAAACACCAATCAGGAAGAATATATGTACCCCCATGTTCATAGCAGCACTATTTATAATAGCTAAGATTTGGAAACAGCCCAAGTGTCCACCAGTAGACGAATGGATCAAAAAGCTGTGGTACATATACACAATGGAATACTATGCAGCGGTAAGAAAGAAAGATCTCTTATCCTTTGAGACGACATGGAGGGACCTGGAAAGTATTATCCTAAGTGAAAGAAGCCAAGCAGAAAAAGACAAATACCACATGATCTCACTTATATACGGAATATAATGAACATAACAGTCTGAGGAATACAGTAGACCCAGACACATGGAAGTAGGGCACAGACTGACATCCCTCAGAAGAGGGGATGGGGGGTGGGGGGGTGGGAAGAGATAAACCACAGAACTTATATGCATGTATGCATGACCAATGGACATGGACAACTAAGCCGGGGACAGGGTGGAGGGGGGGTGGGGTGGGGGGTGCCAATGGGGTAAAAAGGTAAAATATCTGTAACAAAAAAATAAATAAATAAATAAATTCATAAAAAAATAAATAAATAAATAAAACTCTGAACATAAAAAAAATAAATAAATAAAAATAAATAAAAAAACAATTCAAAAGATCAATGAAACAAAGAACTGATTCTTTGAAAAGATAAACAAGATTGATAAACCCTTAGACAGACTCACTAAGAAACAAAGAGAGATGACCCAAATTAACAAATTCAGAAATGAAGAGAAGTAACAACTGGCACTAAAGAAATACAAAGAATCATTAAAAAATACTATGAACAATTATATGCCGACAAATTGGACAATCTAGGTGAAATGGACAAATTTCTAAAATCACACAGTCTCCCAAAACTGAACTGGGAAGAGATAGAAAACTAGAGTAGACCAATAACAACTACGGAAATTGAAGATGTAATCAAGACTCTCTCAGCAAACAAAAGCCCAGACCTGGACAGCTTCACAGTGGAGTTTTACCAAACATTGAGAAGAACTAACATCTATTCTCCTCAAACTATTCCAAAAAATTCAAGAAAAAGGAACTTACAAACTCATTTTATGAGGCCAGCGTAATTCTAATTCCAAAACCAGAAAAAGACACTGCAAAGAAAGAAAACTACAGGCCAATATTCCTGATGAACATAGATGCCAAAATCCTGAACAAAATACTAGCAAATAGAATCCAGCAATACATCAAAAAAATTATTCACCATGACCAAGTGGGATTCATCCCAGGGATGCAAGGCTGGTACAATAGTTGCAAATTAATAAATGTGATACACCACATAAACAAAATGATGGACAAAAACCATATGACCATATCAATAGATGCTGAAAAAGCATTTGACAAAATCCAGCACTCATTTCTGATAAAAACACTCAGCAATATAGGAATAGAGGGATCATATCTCAACATAATAAAGGCCATATATGAAAACCTACAGCCAACATTATACTCAATGAACAAAAACTAAAAGCATTTCCCTTAAGAACAGGAATAGGACAGGGATGTCCACTTTTGCCATTCTTAACATAGTTCTGGAAGTCTTAGCCACAGCAATTAGAAATGAAGAAAAATTAAAGGAATCCAAATTGGAAAAGAGGAAATGAAACTGTCATTATTTGCAGATGACATGACATGATGTTGTACATAGAAAACCCTAAAGACTCCATCAAAAATTTACTAGATTTAATAAATGAATTTGGCAAAGTGGCATGATACAAAATTAGTTCTTATACACCAATAATGAACTCACAGAAAGAGAAACTAATAAAAAAACAATGCTATTTACAACTGTAGCAAAATAAGTAAATAAATAAAATTAAGGTACCTAGGAATAAACTTAACCAAAGAAGTAGAGGACTTGTTTTCAGAAAACTACAGGACATTGAACAAAGAAATTGAGGAAGATATAAAAAAGTGGAAGCATATACCTTGTTCATAGATTGGAAGAATTAACATCATTAAAATGCCCATACTACCCTAAGCAATCTATAGATTCAATGCAATCCCCATTAAAATACCATCAACATATTTCAAAGAACTAGAACAATACTCCAAAAGTTTAATGGACCCCCCCCCCAAAAAAATACCCCGAATAGCCACAGCAGTCTTGGAATATAGAGCAATGGAACAGAACAGAGAACCCAGAAATTGACCAAAGGCATTATGCTCAACTAATATTTGACAAAGGTGGCAAGAGCATACAATGGAGTAAAGACAGCTTCTTTAATAAATGGTGTTAGGAAAATTGGACAGCTATATGCAAAAAAAAAAAAAACAAAACAAAAAAAAACACACAACAAAAAAAAAAAACAGAAAATGAAGCTAGACCACCAACTTACACCATACACAAGAATAAACTCATAATGGATAAAAGACTTAAATGTGACTCATGAATCCATAAAAATCTTAGAAGAAAATGTAGGCAACAAGTATTAGACATCACATGCAGCAAAATTTTCACTGATACAACACCTAAGACAAGAAAAACAAAGGAAAAATTAATAAATAGGACTACATTAAACTAAAAAGCTTCTGCACAGAAAAAAACAAAAACAAAAAAAACAATAACAACCATCGAAATGGAAATGGAAGCCAGTATATGGGAAAGCATAATTGCCAATGATATATCAAATAAAGGGTTAATTTTCAAAATATATAAAATATTCATAGAACTAAACAAAAGGAAGACAAAGAACCCAATTAAAAAATGGGCAGAGGATCTATATAGACACCTCTCCAAACAGGACATACAAATGGCCAAGAGACATCACTAACCATCAGAGAGATGTAAATTAAAACGACTATTAGGTTTCATCTCACACCTATCAGTATGGCTGCCATCAACAAATCCTCATACCACAAGTGCTGCCAACGGTGTGGAGAAAAGGAGACTCTAGTACACTGCTGGTGGGAATGCAGACTGGTGCAGCCACTGTGGAAAGCAATATGGTGTTTCCTCAAAAAATTAAAACTGGAACTGCCATTTGACCCAGTGATCCCACTTCTAGAAATATATCCTAAGAAGCCTGAAACACTAATCAGAAATAATAGCCCTGGCCAGTTTGGCTCAGCGGTTGGAGCGTCGGCCTGCGGACCATAGAGTCCTGGATTTGGTTCCCGCTAGGGGCACGTACAAAAAAAAAAAAAAAAAAAGAAAGAAAGAAAGAAATAATATATGTGCCCCTACGTTCATAGCAGCCCTATTTACAATTGCTAAGATCTGGAAACAGCCCAAATGTTCATCAGTAGATGAGTGGATAAAAAAGCTGTTGTACATTTATACAATGAAATACTACGCAGCTGTAAGAAAGAAAGATCTCTTATCCTTTGAGACGACATGGAGGGAACTGGAGAGTATTATGCTAAGTAAAATAAGCAAATCGGAAGAAGACAAATATTACATGATCTCACTTATTTCTGCAATATAATGAACAAAATAAGCTGATGAATAAAATAGATACAGAGACATAGAAGTAGGGTACAGACTGACAGACCTCAGAAGAGGGGGGTTGGGGGGTGGGAAGAGATAAATCAAAGATCTTATATGCAGATATGCATAACCAATGGACATAAACAACAAGGCCGAGGTGGGAGGCGGGATCAGGGAGAGGGTGTCAATGGGGGAAAAAGGAGAAACATCTGTAACAAATGTAAATTAATTAAAAAAAAAAACAAGTATTGAACAATCTTTGTATGCTACTGAAATTACCCTATAGTTTGGAGCAGAAGTGATGCAGGAGAAAGGATGGGAATAATTTCTGGAGCTGAGCAACCCAGTAGATGACAAATGTGGTGGATCTTTTGATAGGGCTGGGGAATCCTTTATTACTGAAGAAAATGAGTGAGATTTTGAGGACAGATGGGGTTGAAGTTATAAATTGGGCAAAGGATTAAACATTTTCTTCACTGGGAGGAGTCAGGCTCTTCCTTAAGATAACCATGAAGGAGGTATGATCAGTGTGTTATTACTGTTTCCAAGCAAATGCCCCTGCCCCAGAACAACACTCACCATGGTTCTGTCCTGCCAGGCGGTTCATCAGGTAGGACTTTCCTGTCCTATACAGTCCTGTGATGGCCACCACCACCACAGGCTGATCGATCTTGTCAAGAATCTCTAGTGCTTTTGGATTTACCACCAGCTGATTTTTCTGGTTTTCCACCAGACAGATGGGGTCCATCATGGTGTATTCGGAGGCCATGGTGAGCTGTAACCCAGAGGAACAACGAAGTAGAATACAAGTTCCCAAAGTCATATCTAATGGTTACAGAGGTCATTTGCATATCAGCTTTATGCTCCTGTAGCTTATATATCACTTTCCTACAGTTGGTATGTTTCTAAAAGATAAGTATTTAGCCTAGTGTGTCAAGGTCTGGTACAGATTCCTATGTACATTACTGAATTAATCCATAAATGAACCGTAAAACAGCCTTGCCCATGTGATGCAAAAAATGAATGGAATGAGAAAAACAAAACACTAATGAAGGAGCCTTTGGAACATTAACATACTGGGGGTAAGTAGAGGCAGAACAGGACATGCAGGAGACGAGGAGTGACCAAAGCAGATACCTGGAGTTCCAGAATGATGTGGTTTCTCATGAACTGTATACATTTCCTGAGTACCTACCATGTGCTGGGTACTGTTCTCAGTGCTCAGGGTCAAGCGGTGACCAAAATGGATAACAATTCCTGCCTCATGGAGCTCTATTCCAGTGGGAGGAGGCAGGCAATACAGAAGGCAAATAAGCAACATGTGTCGTGTACATATATCAGATGAAGGAAAGTGCTCAGGGGACAATCAGCAGGGACTGCAATAGGGGTTGTGGGGACTGAATTTTATATAGAGGGTGGTCAGGGAAGAGAAATATCTCTGAGAAAGAAATAAATGTGATTTGTGACCTTGAGGACAGGTTTAGTGAACTGTGGGAATAGGAACTGCTGAAGGAGGGGAGAATTTAAGAGGAAGAAGAGATAAAGAATGAGATTTGTCTCAAAGCACCAGGAACAGATAGTTATAGGACCTAGAGAAAGTGAGAAAGTTATGGGTGCAGGAATTCATTTATTTGACTGGAATAAAAAGACACTTCTTATTTATGGGCTGACAGGGAAGAGGCAGTAGCAGGGTGTTTAAGGTGTGCCCAGATCTGCCAGAGTCCCACAGCTGGGTGAGGCCCTACTTTACTATTTTCATCACAGTAGGTAGAAGCAGGAGAAATTGCAGAATTTATATCTTGGACTGAATATTTAAAATTTGGGATAGGAATAGATGAGTTAACAAAAAAATTTTAATGTAAGTATACGGAAATACCCAATTTAAAAGCTGTTAAGTTCAGCCCAGTTGGTGTGGCTCAGTGGCTGAGCATTGACCCATGCACCAAGAGGTCTCAGGTTCGATTCCAGTCAGGGCACATGACCAAGTTGTAGGCCAGATCCCCAGTGGGGTCATGCAGGAGGTGCCAATCGATGTTCTCTATCATCTCATCGATGTTTCTATTTGTCTCTCCCTCTCCCTTCTCTCTCTAAAATCAATAAAGATAAAATATTTTAAAAAAATTAAAAATTAAAAGCTGTTAAGTTCAAATAAACAAGTAAAATAAAATAGTTCTATTGTATGTAGCGAGATGGTTTCCAGTTTACTTTTCAGGAGAGTCAGTCATCTGAAATGATGTTGAGAACTACCCCAACCTGGACTTCTCAGTAACTATGATGGGGTATTCTGATAGTTTTTGTATGGAACACACCTTAAAAACAATGCATGATAAACAAACACTATTAGATCTTACGGTTATTTTTAACACTTGATTAGTGAACATGAGATTGAATTATTCTCTATAACAGAGCATTGTTCTATTTTTGGAATATTAAGTATTGTTAATACAAAAATAATCAGTCAATCTTTAATGATTTAAATTGCCTGAAAATTAAGAACCATCTTTTCTCTCAGTTTCTCCCATGCCTGGAGGTGGGGGTTGGGGGAGCAGGGGCAGTCTGAGGAGGGAGCAGGGAGATGGAAGGGGAAGAGACTCCACCATGCACCTCTGCAAGAGGATGGGGTTTACTCCATCAATCCCAGGAAGGACTTAGCCCCTTTTGGCATTTGAGGTAGGATGCCTTCCTCCTCCTCCCACGCAGGGCAGTGTGTATAGCTCTGGGTGAGTGCCAGGAGGCAGCTAATGACAAGGCGACCAGGTGCGTGCGCGCTGGTCGCCACGCAGAGGTCTCTGATGCAGAGGGGCTGAGCTCCTGGGGGCAGGCTCCAGTACTAGCCTCGCGCTGCCTCCCTGCCAGCCAGGGCCGAGCCTGCGTTTCCAGGGTCGGGTGTGCGTTAAGGCACGTGTTGTTGTTGATGTAAAGAAACGCGGGGAGGGAAGGGCGAGTCTAGGGGCGAACTTACATGTCTCAGGTGCTGCAGACTGGAAAAGTCCTCAGCTGTCCTAGCTCTTCCCTCGCTCTTCCCTCCTGCGTCTGGCTCCTCCGGATACGGACTGTTTTCTTTAGAAGCTGAAAATCGTGCCAGGTATTACAGCCAAGCAGTTGTGGGTCGGGTTGATAAGAACCCAAATCTAAAGCACACGCGCTTCTTTGAGAATCGAATCATTGGGTTGCCCCTCTCCCCACCCTCTTTTTTTTTTTTCTTCTTAAACTGAGTCAGGAGAGCAGATGAGGTGGGAGGGAAGTCACCATTCCTGGTTCCTCCACACCTGCCTTCAGAATCTCACGTTGGTCCCTCGCAGTTAGCTTGTGTTCCCTGAACCAACAAGGAGTACAGAGCAGTTGGCTGAATGTGAGCCAAGGGACAGCAGGGGTAGTTTGGTGAGGGAAGGGGTTTGTTTATTAATCGATTTTTCTTAATATTTTGCCCTTGTTCAATTCTTTTCTCTCTCTTTTTTCAAAGAGTATTTTGTGTTCAACACGATTTTTCATTAGCAAATAAATGAAATAATAAAATAAAATAAAAAACAAGCCAAACAAACAAACAAAACAAAATAAAAAACTAGTGTGTGTGTATATAAAATTCTTCATTTTATAGCCCAGACAAATTCACTATAATTTTGTTGCATATAGTTGTTTCTTACTTATACAAGGATGGATCTAGATTTATACAAGGGGGAGGGGGTGAAGATTAAATATAATTTGAGAGTCTGCTTCAGATAGATCAATAGAAAAATACAAAAATGAATATTTAAAATGACCCAAACCATGTAGCAATATATTTTAAAAGTTGACAAATGCTGCAAACAGTTTGTCTCATCAGTTTGTTTCCTTTCTGTTTAGCGACTCCTATCATATTTGAATTTCAGTGTGAGCTAGAATGCTGGCAAATATATTTTAGTTGTACACCAGGGAAATTTTAATTTACTTTTTAAAGCAGCATTCCATAGTGCTGAACTACAGAACAAAAATCGTATCAATTCTTTGAGTGTCATTTCCATTTTCCCTAATATGTTTCTGTGAAATGGGCTCTTTGGTAATAATAGTGATAAATATAAAAAACAGATTGTAGAGATTTAATTTTTACAACACTAACAAAAAAAGATTTTTACTATATCACACAAAGATGAAGACTGTTACATTAAATAAAATGTCAGACACTGAAATGTCATTTTGAAAAATTTGAATCTCCCTTTTTCCTTTGATATGTGACCTGATACTACTAATCACATTATCATCAGAAAGTTGACATTGATATGAGTTTGTATTATATTTTACTTTATTTATTTATTTATTTGTTTGTTTTTTTTGTGGTACGTGCCCCTAGCGGGAACGGAACCCAGGGCTCTCTGGTCCGCAGGTCAATGCTCAACCGCTGAGCCAAACTGGCCAGGGCTGAGTTTGTATTTTAAATGTTAAAATGGACTCTGCAACAAATTATAGTGAAATTAGATGATCAATTTTTAATTTACTTTTATTATTATTATTTTTTGAGTGTTCCCTTTCTAATCCCTTTTCAGTTTTTTATTTCTTTAATTAATTTTTAAAAATTTATTTTTGTTACAGATGTTTCTCTTTCCCGCCATTGATACCCTCCTTACCCTCCCTCCCCGCCCTGTGTACCCAGCTTTGTTGTCCATGTCCATTGGTTATGCATACATGCATGTAAATTCTGTGGTTAATCTCTCCCCACCCACTCCCTCTTCTGGAGATTTTCAGTCTGTACCCTACTTCCACGTCTCTGGGACTACCCTGTTCTTCAGACTGTTATGTTCATTATATTCCACAAATAAGTGAGATCATGTGATATTTGTTTTTCTCTGTTTGGCTTGTTTCGCATAAAATAATACTCCCCAGGTCTTTCCATGTTGTCTCAAAGGATAAGAGATCTGTCTTTCTTACAGCTGCATAGTACTCCATTGTGTACATACACCACACTTTTTTATACATTTGTCTACTGATGGACACTCGGGCTGTTTCCAGATCTTAGCTATTGTAAATAATGCTGCTATGAACATGGGGGTATATATATTCTTTCTGATTGGTGTTTCAGGCTTCTTAGGGTATATTCCTAGAAGTGGGATCACTGGGTCAAATGGCAGTTCAATTTTTAATTTTTTGAGGAAACACCATAGTGTTTTTCATAGTGGCTGCACCAGTCTGCATTCCCACCAGCAGTGTACTAGAGTCCCCTTTTCTTTACACCCTCTACAACACTTGTTGTTTGATGATTTGTTGATGGTGGCCATTCTGACAGGTGTGAGGTGATACTTCATTGTTGTTTTAATTTGCATCTCTCTGATGATCAGTGATGTTGAGCATTTCTTCATATGTCTCTTGGCCATTTGTATGTCGTGTTTGGAGAGGTGTCTATTTAGGTCCTCTGCCCATTTTTTAACTGGGTTCTTTGTCTTCCTTTTGTTGAGTTGTATGAGCGCTCTATATAATTTGGAAATTAACCCCTTACCTGATGTATCATTGGCAATTATGCTCTCCTATAGAGTGGGTTGCCTTTCCATTTTGGTAGTTGTTTCTTTTGCTGTGCAGGTTTTTATTTTGATGTGGTCCCATATGTTCATTTTCTTCTTTGTTTTTGTTGCCTTAGGTGATGTATCAGTGAAAATTCTGCCACATACAATGTCTGGAATTTTGTCGCCTACATTTTCTTCTAGGATTTTTATGGATTCATGAGTCACATTTAAGTCTTTTATCCACTTTGAGTTTATTCTTGTGTGTGGCGTAAGTTGATGGTCTAGTTTCATTTTTTTTTTTTTTTTTTTGCATGTAGCTATCCAATTTTCACAACACCATTTATTTATTTATTTATTTTTTATCCTCACCTGAGGCTACTTTTCCATTTTTTGTACAGATAGAGTGGGAGGGAGAGAGAGGAAGGGAGAGAGAGAGAGAAACATCAACGTGAAGGGACACATCGAGTGGCTGCCACCCGCACGACCAACCAGGGCCGGGGACAAACTGCAACCGAGGTACGTGCCCTTAGCGGGAACCGAACCTGGGTCTCTCTGTACCGCAGGCCGACGCTCTAACCGCTGAGCCAAACCGGCCAGGGCCCAACACCATTTATTAAAGAGGCTGTCTTTACTCCATTGTATGCTCTTGCCACCTTTGTCAAATATTAATTGAGCATAATATTTTGAGTCCATTTCTGGGTTCTCAGTTCTATTCCATTGATCTATGTACCCGTTCTTGTGCCAGTACCAGGCTGTTTTGATTACAGTAGCTTTGTAGTATAACCTGATATCTGGTATTGTGATCCCACCTACTTTATCCTACTTTGTCCTTTTTCAAGATTGCTGTGGCTATTCAGGGTCTTTTTTTGTTCCACGTGAACTTTTGAAATATTTGTTCTAGTTCTGTGAACTATGTCGTTGGTATTTTGATGGGAATTGCATGAATCTGTAGATTGCTTTGGGTAGTATGGACATTTTCATGATGTTGATTCTTCCAATCCATGAACAGGTATGTGCTTCCACATTTTTATATCTTTCTCTATTTCTTTTTTCAATGTCCTATAGTTTTCTGCAAATAGGTTCTTTACTTCTTTGGTTAAGTTTATTTTTAGGTATCTTAAATTTTTGCTGCAATGGTAAATAAGATTTTTTTTAGTTTTTTTTTTTCTGTGAGTTCATCATTGGTGTATAAGAATGCCATTGATTTCATGAGGTTAATTTTGTATCTTGCTAATTTGCCAAATTCATTTAAGTCTAGTAGATTTTTGATGGAGTCTTTGGGGTTTTCAATATATAATATGATGTCATCTGCGAATAATGACAGTTTCATTTCCTCTTTTCCAATATGGATTCCTTTTATTTTTTCTTTATGTCTGATTGCTATGACTAATACTTCCAGTACTATGTTAAATGAGAGTGGTGAAGTGGGCATCCTTGTCTTGTACCTGTCCTTATGGATTTTGTCTATCATTTTGTTTATGTGGTGTATCACATTTATTGATTTGCGAATATTGTACCAGCCTTGCATTTCTGGGAAGAATCCCACTTGGTTATGGTGAATAATTGTTTTGATGTATTTCTGAATCCAATTTGCCAGGATTTTGTTCAGGATTTTGGCATCTATGTTCATCAGGGATATTGGCCTGTAGTTTTCTTTCTTTGTAGTGTCTTTTTCTGGTTTTGGAATTAGATTTATGCTGGCCTCATAAAACGTGTATAGAAGTCCTCCTTTTTCTTGAATTTTTTGGAATAGTTTGAGGAGAATGAGTGTTAGTTCTTCTTTGAATGTTCGGCAAAACTCCCCCATGAAGCCGTCCGGGACTGGGCTTTTGTTTATTGGGAGTTTCATGATTACATCTTCAGTTTCCTTAGTTACTATTGATCTGTTCCAGATTTCGATCTCTTCCCAGTCCAGTTTTGGGAGACTATGTGTTTCTAGAAATTTGTCCATTTCACTTAGATTGTTGAATTTGTAGCCAATTAATGGCTCATAATATTTGTCCACAATTCGTTGTATTTCTGTGGTGTCAGTTAATATTTCTCCTCTTTCATTTCTGATTTTGTGTATTTGGGTTCTCCCTTTTTGTTTCTTGGTGAATCTAGCTAAGGTTCCATCAATCTTGTTTATCTTTTCAAACAACCAGCTCTTTGTTTCATTGATCCTTTGAATTGTTTTTTTGGTCTCCATGTCATTTATTTCTGCTCTTACCTTTACTATTTCCTTCCTTCTACTTGCTCTAGGGTTTTCTTTTTGTTTGCTTTCTAGTTCTTTAAGTTGTGAGGTTAGATAGTCAATTAGAAATTTTTCTTGTTTCTTGATGTGGCCTTGAGGTGAACTTCCCTCTCAGAACTGCTTTGTTGTATCTCATAGATTTTGTATTGTTGTGTATTCATTTCATTGTGTTCCAGAAAGTTTTTAATTTCTTTCTTGTTCTCTATGGTAACCCATTCATTGTTCAATAACATGCTATTTAGCGTCTGTGTTTTCAAATATCTTTGCTTGTTCTTGTTGCAATTGTTTTCTAGTTTCATGCCATTGTGTTCTGAGAAGATGCTTGATATGATTTCAATCTTCTTGAACTTGTAGAGACTTAGTTTGTGCCCTAACATGAGTTCTATTTTTG